AGAGAGAGAGAGAGAGAGAGAGAGAGAGAGAGAGAGAGAGAGAGAGAGAGAGAGAGAGAGAGAGAGAGAGAGAGAGAGTGAGATGACACCTCCTGCTCATCCATGAAGGGAGTCCCGAATAGAAGATGTGTGCAGTACTCACCCAGGGTTTGTCGTTTCGAACTTTAGCTTGTTCAGTGGCCCTCCGGCGACGGAAGAGTCCTTCCATAGAACTTCCCAGATATGTGTGGACTGCTTGTCTTTGTCTTGTGGGCGGCGGGACATAGACTTTTTAATCCACCGCTGTTTCTCCGTCTGGCTGCAAGAACTCTCCTCCTCAATGTTCAACTCTGCCAGCTCATCCATTACCAAACTGCCAGCAGTATCTACATTCCTTCTCTCTCTCTCATTCTCCTCTCTCTCTTCCTCCTCGTAGCTATCCTCCCACTCCCCCTCCCCCTCCCCCTCCTTCTCTCCTTCTTCCTTTGCAGTACTCCGAGACATGTTCCTAGCTGTCCCCTGCGCTTTCTTTCCCAGTCCTCCTTCCCTCTTAGCTGGTCCCGCTTCATCGCAGAACCCAAATGCTCGCTCACTCCAATCCCTACTCCCCCGCTCCTCTCCCTTCTCCTCTTCTCCTCGATGTCCCTGTCTCCTTCTCTCGTCAGCAGGGGGGGGGGGGGCGGCCTGAGCATGTGGAGCTGGCTGAAAGCCAGCAAATTCATCCGCTGAGTCCCTGGATGCCCGATCCTCCCCATGATTGGCATTGCGCGGACCAGTAGCGATATCTGGTATCTCGTCGGAATCGAGCAAGCTCACCTCCTCAAACACCATGTCAGATTCGACCTCCTGATTCTGACACTGGGGGGAAAACAGGCAGCAGGCACCCTCCCTCCTCTCTTGCAAAGTCACAAAACTTGGCGGAGAATCGAGCGCGAAGTCTCTCGCAGACTCTCTCGTGTCGTCAGGAACCCAGTCAGGGATAACACGACAAGTAGCTGCCGCCGCTGTCGGCTCTCCAACTGCTACCTCGACTCTCAACCCCTCTCCACGTGCAGCCATCACGGCCTGCAAACACGAGTTCTGCGCCTCGTATGCAGACTTTGGAGTCGTTGCCAGGCCAGAAACATGCAATCCTGCTGCAGCTGCATCTTCTTCTGCAGCGGATACAGGAGGAAGAAGAGCACTCGGGAAGCAGCGGCTAACATGCCTCCCCGCTCCATCCGGCCCATCCGTCAGCGCAACAACTTCGCCTTCGCATTTCCCGCCCAACCTCAGTCCTGAGCGAGGCAATTCCTCCCATGCCATTACACTATCCTTCAGTTGCAAGGGAGGTGGAGACGGAACACCGTTTTCACGTCTGCCGTTTGCCGTCAAACTGTCTTTCCACCGCGTCGGAGAGCCGTCCTTCAACCACAACGGAGGTGGCGGTGAGTGAGTGCTGCCCTCACCTCGACCGCTTGCCCCCTGCGCCAAGAGCGCTTGCAACCTGGGCGATTGCGTCAATGGACTGATCAATGCGCCAAACAAATCTGATACCGACTTAATAGAACTCGAGTTTGCCTTGAGCTCCCTTTCACTCTCTCTTGGGACATACAATTTGCCTGTGCCCCGATTTGCAACGTCCTCGTTATTGCCGGAATTGGAATTGTTCACTGCGCAGACGTACCTCAGGCCCACAAACTCATCCCTCTTTATGCATGTCCCAGGGAGTCCAAAATCTAGAGACTCCGGCGAGTCATTCAGAATCGCAGGAGTCTGATTTTTGCAGCAAAACAAGAGAACCACCCAAACCAACCACAGCCAATACCATCAAAAGGTTATGTAAGATTTGCGGAACTGTGCTCCCACCACCCCCCAAGATCCTACCAACACAACTGCACAAAAAAAAGCAACGACTGTTGTTCGGGACATATGCTAAGATCGGAATGATACAGAGAAGATTGGCATGGCCCCTGCCCAAGGATGACACGCATAAATCAAGAAATGGTCCAAAAGAGGCATGACTGTGCCAGACTCTTTTGTCATACTTTTGCCGTCAGATTCCGTCCTCGCGGGAACTATCCGGTGTCCTTCGGGAAGGACATCCGTTAAAACTGGAAACGCTATAGAATAGTATAGATATAGAGAACATTAGCATGGCCACTCCACAATTAAGGATGACATCATGACACCCGTAAACCGAGAAATGGTCCAAACTTTAAAAAATATATATATATATAGAGGCAAGGGCTATTTGGTGACCCATAGTTGTGCCGCCGAGGTCTTAATATCATTCATCTGACACTTAACAGCAATGCTGACCTGAAAAAAAAAAGGGAAGAGTTATTTGGTGGTCCATAGGTGCACTGACGAGGTCTGATACCGTTCAGCTGACACCGTGATGCTGACCTCTGTTGCTATCTGGTGCTCCTTGCCGCAGATAGACCAACCATCTGACGGCTTTTTTTAAGGAAAATTCGGAGATGGAGCACGAGGATGAGACAGGACATCCTCTTTCTGCATCTCCTCCTCCTCCTCCTCCTCCTCAATCTGCTCATTGACATTGTTCTCCTCTTCCTAATTCATCACCTCCTCCTCTTTCTTAGTCCCACGGCGAGGAGGACAAAGACAACAGTGTATCGAATTCACTTTTCATTGCCAACCATGACGGGCCGCAGGGGGAGGAGGAGGAGTAGGTGGAACGAGGAGGAAGTGTTGGTGCAGATAGAGAATGACAGGCCAGATTGTCTCTGTGAGAATAACAAGCGGAAGGGAGGGGGGGGAGGAGAGAGAGAGAGAGAGAGAGAGAGAGAGAGAGAGAGAGAGAGAGAGAGAGAGAGAGAGAGAGAGAGAGAGAGAGATTGTGTTAGTGAGGGGGAGAGGCGTGGCAGGAGCAGAGTGAAAAGATGGCGAAAGGGAGATATGTAATGACCTGCAAAGTGAGAGCTCTTCTGAGTTTTGCGGCTGGATTGTGTGACTAGCTACGATTCCGGCCTTCTGCTGAGATTTCTAAGTCTGCGTGTGTGTGTGCTTGCAGAAATTCCGTGTGTTTGTCTGAGTGCATGATTGCCGGGGTGTGTATGTGACGCGCCAGGGCACTTGTATGCTGGATAGGCCCCCGGGCCTGGTACTTACCTATGGCCGTGCTTTTGAGGGTTTGCAGTGGCCTAGCGGTAGGCTAGGCCCAAAACACTCCAGTAGCGGGTAGGCTAGGGCCGTGTAGGGGTAGGTAGGCAGAAGAAGACAAAAAGTTAGTACCTTTACAGGCCGAAGGGACTTTCAGAGTCCGGTAGGCTTAGGTCCAGGGGTACCAGACCAGTAGTCCGACTCTAGGGCCTGTAGCGGTGGATATCAGACCTGCAATGATGTTTCTCTCCGAAAGGAGCAACGTACTGGTAGCTTGGGAGACCAAGCGGCCTGGAAAGTCACCGCCCAAGGAGGCAGCTGCTCGGTATATTTCCGGGAGGAGCGAAGTGCTGCTTGCAGTGTGCAAATTTAGCACGCTGCTGCAACGAGCGCTTGGCCAGTCCAGCGCTGTGGACGAAGAAGACAGCACCTTCAGCTATGCTGGAACTGTCCAGGGAGGAAGGCTCCGGGGTGTAGGAGGAGGAAGAAGAAGGTGAGCAAGGGGGAGAGTGACGGGGGTGTTTATCTGGCTATGGTGGATGGCATCTTCATCTTCTTGGTTGGCGCTGCACCTGGAAGACCCCATAAGGGAACACTTTGGGCCAGATATGGGCATGGCAGCCATGATAGAGAGGGCACATCGGCTTTGCGTTGTCCTTTGAACATTGGAGCAGGGTTCCACTAGTCCGCCATAGCCACCTACTAGGAGGAGGAAGAAGAAGGTGTAGGTCATGGCTGTGGTGAACCTCGTGTTGCTGGCAGTAAGGAGGTTATACAGAGGTTGAAGGTGATGGTGAGTTGGACGGGGATTTAACATTGGTCTTTGCTGGTGCACATCTTCTTCTTCTTCCATTCTTAATTCTTCCTCTTCCTCTGTCTGTTTCTCTTCCCAAGTTCTTTCATTGCGGTTGCAATTGAACGGCATTGTCTTCCTTTGTGTTATTGCACTTCAAGATAGCCAGGATCGTAACACACACACACACACACACACACACACACACACACACACACAGAGAGAGAGATTGTG